AGGTCTAGGTGTGTGCGGTGCACCCTGTGATGCCTGAAAGAGGTATCAGATGTATAATGGGATGCAGCACGAGGCGAACGTACCAACAAGCCATCCTTTAAGCGCTGCATCATCGCGTTCAGAGCGAAGGATGCTTGGTTGTTCGATGTGCGCAACAACTGGGAAGAATTCAGGATGCGAGGACGACTGGCAGGAGAAGACGGCGATGATGGACGTGGCAGTTTATATGGTGACGGGGACGCAGGGGAGGGAGCCGGTATAGTAGAGGGTTTGGGACAAAGTGGCTCTGTAAGCACAGGAAGTGGTGCGACCTGATCGTCCGTAGCCTGCAGCTTGGTGGTGTCTTTCGGTTGCGTTGTGCTGCGTTTCTGGCGTGCAAGCTCCGCGGCCCATCGCTGCTCAAGTTCATTGCCGCGAACGACAATGTCATGCAGTGCACATCGGAGACTCGAAATGAGCGTAGCATAGGACATACGGTTCAGCTCAGGCTCAGGACGGCAGATGTACGTCCAGTCTACCCGAACAAAACGTGGAAAAGGGCACCATGTCGGCATTGGCATGCGGAGAGAGTGAGTGAGCACACACACCTGACAAGACCCACTCGCCGCCCAACCGCTCCGGCTTGAACACAATCCTCTGCTCTCCCTCTCCTCTTTCCGCATCAGCCCCTCGAGTAACGATGAGCGAGATGGCCGTCTTGAACTTGTTCAGCACATTGACTCGCAACACCCGACCGCCCGCGCTCTTCGAGGCCACATTCAAGAGCGACATGCTCACACGACCCCTCCCATCCTTCGCGCGGTCATCGTCCTTGCTATACACCGGCGCAGGCGGAAATGGGGGGTCCGGGAACGGGTTCGCGGGCCTTTCGAGGAGTGCCTTGGGTACCGCCCGAATGGCGAATCCTGGGTACGTCCGCCATGGAAAGGCTTTCCCGAATTCACTGGGTGTGAGTTTCAGCGCAGGATGCGTTGGGTCTAGGACACGTTGTTTTGAGGGAGGTTTGTTCGCATGAGCGACGTTGTGTACGCCTCCGGGGGTCGTCCGTTTGAACTAGAGGAAGGAAGGTGTAAGAACATTACAATCTATCCATGGGGTGAGGATGACATGGCGGTTACATTGATAGACTTGAGTCCGTGAGCAGGTTTATGCAGCTTGTGCAGTTCCACACATTTTTGCATATCAGAGTGCAGACAAAAGCAAGTCACCCTAAGGACACGAAAGTCCAATGGGCATTGTTCAATGTTATGGGTCGTGACACTGACACAACATGGCTAAGAAGCGCTGAAATCTTGAAAGCTGCATCCACGAGCGCTCCGACGACTTCGGTAAGGTAGGAGGGCGCCTACATTGATACATGTTTTTGAATCCTCAGGCTTGTTTATTGCCCTCGAGGGTAGGGCCCTATGGTAGGGAAAACCCACATGACGTGGGAAGATAATCAAGAGATTCATGATATAGGGCAGAGGAATAGCTTTCAGCATGTTCGAATTGAAGAGCTACAAGTACAGCACATTCATAGTCACTAGTCAGAACCAATCCGGATCCAATGAGAGTCAACGGGTATCACGCCTTCGCAGCCCTCGTCCTGCCCACACGCGTCCTCGTCCCAGTCATAGTCGCCGTAGCAGTCGTAGGAGCACCAGGCTCTTCACCCACGTCCGAGGGAGTGCTCTTCCCCGACCCCTTCCCTCCCCGCGTACTCTTCGCAGCGCCCCGCGCCTTCGAGCCCACGCCCGCACCCTTTGTCTCCTCAGCATCGTCCTCCGTGGACGGCTCAGGCGTGTTCTCTTTATCCTCCGGGATGGTCGGCTCGCTCACCGCACTCGACGCCGTAGCGGCACGCGTCCGGCCACCGCGCCCTGTAGTCGTAGTACTAGTAGTAGTCGCCACGGGGATCTTCGGCACTGGGGTTCGCCGGGCACGCGTCGTCCGAGCGGGCTGCTCTTCCTCAGCTGGGATGCTCCCCTCGGCGTCCTCTTGCTTCACTGCGGCCCTACTCCGCCCACCGCGACGTGCACGCCCACCGGTAGGAGCGGCGGCAGCGTCGCCGCTCGGGGTGCGCTCTCGCGGGAGGGAGTCGAGCGGGTCGTCATCATTGTCGTCCTCGGTCACTTCGATCGGCTTCGCTCGTGTACCCCGGCGGACGACGATCGTCTTTGTCGTCGAGGCTGGAACCGCAGTAGGTGTCTTGGCTCTCGTCTTACGAGCGGGCTTCGTATCCGCGGGAGCGGCTTCTTCAGTGGTAGAAGCCGCAGATGAGTCCGTCGCCTGTCGCGTACGCCGAGTCGCGCGTGCAGGTGCGGGCACAGCAACGGGTTGTGCCTCTGGCTCTGGCTCTTCTTCATCTTCCTGGGGCTCCGGGGTAGCGGGCTTCGCCCCCGCCTTGCCTCGAGTCGCCCTTGGAACCTGTCACGACGTTTGAGCGAATGTATAAACCAATAGCAACAGTGAGAGCATACCTGGCCAACGGCGCCATCCGCAGTACGGGCCCTCGTCCGACGGCCACGAACCTCTTGGGTGGCTTCGGCTTCACCAGACTCGGTCTCTTCCAGAGCCTGCGACGCAGCACGAGTGCTCTTCGGTGGGGCGGACTGCGGCACTGCGGTCCGGCGCGCAATCCTCGTCGCAGGAGTCCTCTTTCCACGCGCATTCCGCACAGGGACCTGCTCAGCGGGCTCGTCCTCTCGTTCTTGCTCTGGCCCTGCCGGGGATGGAGCACGATACCCAGCAGGAGTTTCCAGCATCTCCCTAACTCCATCCATTCTTGGAGTCTCCACAGCCGGCCGAGCACGGAACATCTCCTTGACCCCCGCCAGCACCGGCGTACTCGCCTCAGCCTGCGGACGACTGAAGACATGGCGGAGGTCGTACATCTGCGGCGTCTGCACAGCAGGCTCCTCCTCGTCACGGTCATCGGCTATGGGTACGTCGCTCTCGTCCTCCTCAATGAGGATGCGCGACGGGCGGTGCGTGCTCGCGTGGTTCGGCGCAAGGAGGGAGAACCCGCCCTCGCGCTTGCGCGGGCTGAGGCTGAGGCTCTGGCGGCCGAGACTCTGGCGCTGCTTTACGCCCTCGACCATCTGCTTCATGCGGGCGAGGAGCACTGCGGTGTCTTCCCCTTCGTCCTCGACTTTGGGTGCGGACGCTGCACTGGACAAATCGGACGAAGAGGCCCCTTCGAGTACCGAGCTCTGTGATTGCGAAGACGACGTCGATGCAATCTCCCCGATTTGAGAGGAGAAACTTGGTGAGGGTAGAGGGGCAAGGTTTGGGAATAGCATACGTCGCGAGCCGGGGGTCTGGCCCTTGAAGAAATTGTCGGGAGTAGTCAATGCGGATCGCCTCCGTGCACGAATGGCCTGGCCGTGTATTAAGTTGATATGCCGAAGATTTGGTAACATAGGATTGCTCACCTCCCGCTCTTCTTCCGTAAGCTTCTCCTTCTTAACAGGTGAGCGAGGTGTCGACGGCGGCGCCGGAGCACTTGCGGTAACCTGCACGTTGTTCTCTTCCTTGACAACGGTCGGAATTCCAACCTCTCCCACCTTCCAGGGAGCGACGACGCGTACACGGCGTGGGCCAGTCTGTGGTGCAACTCCGAGTGAGAGGCGGGGGTGGTAAGCACTCCGGGGTATCTGAGGTGTCATGAAATTGCCGAGGGCACGCTGTGGTTCAGTTTCGTATGTATCGTGCTGTTCATCTTCGTATGCGTATTGTTGTTCGTCCTCGTCTTCTTCCTGTGGCTCGTAATCAGGCTCTTCGCCATTTTCTGCCCATTCGTCTTGTTCCTCGGTATATCCTGCGTCGAAATCTAGTTCTTGATCCTCTTCTTTAGGCTGCAACAAGTCAGCCCAAACCTTTCAAGGTTGAGAAGGTGTACACGAACCTCAACAGATAAGCCACGCAAAGCCCATCCTAGACTGCCCTTGACCATATCCAAGCTCTTGCGCCATCCGGACACCTCCCTGTGTCCCTCTGGCGGAGGAATCTCTTCAATCTCCTCATCAGCTTCCTCGGTAATAGCCGCAATGGTCTCCTCGACCTCCTCCGCTTCTTGCTCTTCCTCCTCTTGTTGACGTTCGAGTTGTATGGCCGCACGATGGGCGGAACGAATCAACACAGCACGATGCAGGGAAGCCCGAGGTTGACGCCGCACGGGAGTGACCGGGTATTGAGGCATGACAGGCAAAGGAAGGGGCAACACCGGCTCTGACTCTACTTCGTCGATGATGACAAGGTCCTTGTCCTCCTGCACGACGCGCGGGCTGTCGCTGTGCACGAGGACAATCTCCTCATGCTCACGCGCAAACGGCGTGCGAAGGGGTGTTTGGAGAACGCGAAGATTCTCTTCCGGGTTCTGACTTGGTCCTGGAGTGAAGACATGCGCGCTCGCGATCATAGAGAGACGCAATGGACGACGGGACGTATGAGGGGTCGCTTGTGTCGGTGTGTTGATAAGGGCGGGGCGAAGGTGTTTGGGCGGGTACGTGAACCGGAAACGTTTTTTGTGTATCTCAATCACGGAGTTGTTCTGGAGAGGGACGGTTGTCGGTCTGAGCGCGGTCGCGGCGGCAGGGAAGAGCGGGGAGTCGTCGAGCAATACACCGTTGGTACCCAGAACCACGAGGAACGCCTTGCGTTCGACAAAGGTGATTTTCGCGTGCATGGCAGAGACTGCGGGGTAGTACAAGCGGAGAGAGCATGCCTGGTCGCGTCCAATAGTGATTTCCTCGTCATCTATAGGATAGGATGTTACGACAGAGTCCGAAGGGAGAGAGCGCAGGAGAGAGAGTGCGCCCAGTCTTCCGAACTCGCTCGCATCCATTGCGTGACTGTGGTTGTCCGTGGGCAGCGGAAGGGGCGTGGTTGGGACGTCAATGACGATGGCAAGAGGCAGATCACAAACTTGAACCATTCACGACGCGCCCAGCACGCGCCCCCCTCGTGATCGCGTCGAGCGTCCCCGGGTGAACAAACAAATGCGTATATTCAACTATGGCCGACTAGCTCAGTTGGTTAGAGCGTGGTGCTAATAATGGCCTGAGCGGGGCCCATTTGGCAATGCCGATGGGTTCCCCGGCTATTTGTAACGCCAAGGTCGTCGGTTCGATCCCGGCGTTGGCCATTTTCTGTTTTCAACTTGTCTTCTGGTCTGTGCCAAGTAAGACCAATGTATCTAAAATGAGTCAGTGATGATTGTCGGATGCAATTGTAACCGGTACGTGACGTCAGACTGGTGTGATGACTACCCCAACTGCAAGTTCAAGCTATCTTTTGGTGGCCAAGGATTGTCAATCGTCATCCCGCGGCAGCGGTTTCTCGTCGGGCTATGTTATATATACACTATCCCTCCGGCTCTTTACTCACAACGTGATTACGACAGTATGGTCCTTCGGGAACAACTTCGAAGCCGCGTCCTGGGCCGAGTGACCGTCAAGAACGCTGACGGCGCAGAGGTCAAAGTTGATTGTTAGCACTTTTGATGCCCAACCAGACGCCTATCCCTGTGCACGACCTCTCAGATGAAGGGTTCCACCTTCCCCGCTTCGCCGCAGGTAGCTACATGTAACGCCGCCGTTCTGGGCGATAATGGAAAGCTGCGCATGTGGCCCGGAGCCTACCACGTTAGTACTCGATCACCATTGCCTCCGAGGGCCCTGAGCTGACTCAATCCTGCAAGTGGTCTCAAAACAGCTCGGACGCAAGGTTCAGAGGAAATCTTCGACTGTCCAGAAGCAGTTCGAACCGCTCACAGTCCCTGGGCTTTCTGCCGAGACCTTCTCTGCCATTGCTGCAGGCAGCGATCACCTAGTGTTACTTGCGGAAGAAGGCGATGTCTACACCATCGGGCGCGGCAACAACGGACAACTCGGCTAGCTACAAGGGCAACCTCACCTTCGTTAGACCGTACAAGGTCCTACGCTCCACCCAGGGCCACCCGCAATTACAGTAGGGGCGAGCAACGACAGCATGTTCTTCGTCGATTAAGCCGGCCGGGTCACCGGGTCTGGAGCTAGCGGCTCAACGTTCAATGGCAGAGACCGCACTGGTAGCGAAGAGAACAGCCTCGCGTATCCGCGCCGCATCCGCAAGCTCACGAAAGAGGACTTCGGCAGCAGCGCGACGGTCGTACAGATCACTGGTGGGGAACGCCATATACTGTCTTTGACTTCGGATAGACGGGTCTTCGCGTGTGGTTCTTTGGTCGACGGACAGTTCGGCTTGGCGGACGTTGACGACGCACTCACTGGGAGCAGGAAGGACGAGTATGTTTGTAGCTGAGCCTGCGCTAGTGAATTTCCCGCATGATATCGCAGCGGGCCCGATTGTCCAGATCGCTGGGGCTGGCAACATGAGCGCTCCTGTGACCCGAGATGGCGTTCCTCTATAGTGATATAGTGCATGCGGCCAACTTGGTACCACGGATGGGCAGGCGAGCAAGGCGCCGCAAGTCATTGTTCGCAGGGAGAGATCTTGGCTGGCTAAGGATGACGCGTGTGTATCTCAGCATTGCCTGGCAATCCTAGGGAAGAAGCTTCAGCGATAATGTCGATCGACGTCGAAGATAAGTTAGACTAAATTGATCGTTCCCTATTGTGAGTTATATCCTATGTCAGTGTCACAACCAACTCCCGACAGTACTAATATCATGGCGGTGAATACCTAGGCAATGTGCTTTGGTTAGTCCTCGCAGGTAACGATGCTCTACTTCTCTGTGTGCAAGCTTGCTGTCCCAAATGGTTACTATGTGACCTCTCTCTTTGCGCGAATAACACAGTCGCTGTATTGACCTTTATTGGCCGCAAATCTGCCGGTATACATGGTTCTGTCAACTGTCAAACTGACTCTTACGATGGTCCGCTGGAGCGTGTAACTGTCTTATGTGCGCAACCACGCCGTCTTCGCCAGCTTTTTCTGACGTTTCTGCTCCCTGAATCGATCCTGTGTCCCTTGCAATCAGCATACCGCGACACCGGGGAACAAACCGTCAGACCCTCGCAAATGGCGACTCACCAGGTCCTTCTTTGTGGGCTTCTTCCGCTTCCTGCTTTCCTCCTCCTGTGCCTCTTCCAGCTTCCGCTTCTCGACCTCGTGTTCCCACGCGTTGACATCGAAGTAAAACTCGCTCATCCGCTTGGCCCGTTCGTACTCGGACAAGTGCGTTGGGTCGCGTGCGTCCGGGCGAGCGAATGCGCCAGTGCGCGAGTTGAACTTCGCCGTGTATGTGAATGCGCCGGGAGCTGTGCCTGAAGTTGCGAGGGAGGGGTCGAGATGCGCGAGCGCAGGGTCGATGCCCTGCTCTGCTGCGGCAGCGTAGATGTCATACTGCGAAGACGACGCGCCAGGTGCTTGAGTCGCATCAGAGGAAGAGGCAGAATCATTGTGTACGTTGGACGGGCCTGCCTCGGCGTCGGGCTGAAGAGGATTGACCCATGTGGTTTCGTGCGTGACCGAGTTGTAAAAGTAGTACGCGTTGTGTGCGGGTGACCAGACAGCCTGCCAGCTGCTTTCCGGGGCAGCAGTGGACACAGAGGCAAAAGTAGAGGTAGAATTAAACGCAGCAGAGGTCTCAGGGGAAGAGGTAGAGGGAGATTCAGAGGCAGAACGGGAAGCTGAGGCATCGTTTGCCTGCGAGTCGTGCGCGGCTTCCGAAGTTATGGGGTCGCTTTCTGGCGTTTCTTCCGCTTGCTGCGAGTTGTCATGATTGGGTGAGGTCGGGCTGTGCTCAGCCGGGGAGGCAGCGTCGGGGGCGGGGGATGAGGTACGGGACATGGTCAAGGTCAGAGGCAAGGGGTATTCAAACTCCGCCATGCTCTGCTTGGCATCCATCCCCGGTACACGGCGCGCTCACCTCCGTCCACGACGACGACCATCTTCAACCCAGAATCAGATCGAAGAACGAGCCCGGAGCACTGTCTGGTACTAGCTGAAGCAGGCTAGCCACCAAAGCTCTCCCATTACAGGAAACAGTGGTCGTCCGACCTTGTACCCAGAAGGCACCCCAGAGAGGCACGGAATACACAAGGTGCGTGGAGGGCATGAGGTTCCTTGATATTGTGTACATATTGAATATGCTGTAGAGGCTCAGAGACTCCAGTCTCACTGTCTTGTCGTTCATACAACCCCTCCTCTCAACTTCGAGACACAATGACTGATATCTCCACTCCGGAACGCCCTCACCACATTCCCCTTCCCCCGCCTCTGCGTTCGGCGATGAAACACTCGTCATCCCGGCCGAGTACACCCAACCAAGGACCCTTATTTTCACCGCTGTCACCGCCCATAGGTCCCATTCCTCTGTCACCCGCTGCCCCTTCAGTGTTCGTGCCGACCTTTGGCCACACTTCTCCCTACAGTTCTGCAAACCCTTCCTCATCCGTGGTTACTATCGGTTCTCCAAATGTCCCTCCTTCACCTCTCATCGCTGCACAAGGATACACACCAAAGGTCTCCTTTGATACGCTCGAGAACCCGCAAGCTAGCATGTTCTCATACACCCTTCATGTACAAAGCGAAGGCTATTCTCGAACGCGTAGTACGCGTGTCTTCCTATGCGCCTCCAGCCCAGATGAGAGTGGCAGCGCAGCCCTCGAGTGGTGTCTGGAGTCCCTCGTGCAAGACGGCGACGAGCTTGTCGTCTTCCGTGGCATCGACCCCGACGATTTCGGTATGTCCGTCCCACCACCGCCTTGGCGCACGTTCATTAGTACTGAATGGTCTACGTAACCATCACACACAAACGCGATTGCAGCGGACAAGGACCACGACCAATACCGCGAAGACGCACGCGAGCTCATGCGGATAATCCAGGAGAAGTGCGTCGAATACGACCCCGAGCGCAAGCTCTCGATCATCGTAGAGTACATTGCGGGAAGGGTCACACAGACGATTGACCGTCTGATTGCATTGTACCGTCCCGACTCTGTCGTCGTCGGCACGCGCGGCCAGCGAAGCGTGATGCAAGCGTGGGCCGGCGCGTTTGGTGCGCCAGGCGTTGGGAGTGTGTCCAAGTACGTTCTCAAAGGGCTTGAGTGAATCTATCTGACACTTGTATGGTATTTCCGCAGGTACTGCCTAAGTCATTCTCCCGTTCCGGTCATTGTCATACGCCCGGAGAGCAAGGTTCGCAAGTCGATGGCCAAGCGGCGTGCGAACCCGAAACGCGGACAACACTTCGATGAGTGCGTTGCATTCTGTATGCTTTCTCCATGTTGACAGCTCTGACTGGTACAGTGATAGGCTCGCAAAGACGAAGACGAATAACGGACATTTATCTGTACCCATGTTCTCGGCACTTACACGATGATCGAGTGCTGTTTGCATGCACATTGGGTCTGATATACCATGGGGTCCCGAAAGACATCAATACATATATGTACTTACATCTGTAATAACGCGCGTTTCCATGTCCTCTGTGCTCTCTTCCTTTCCTTCGCAGGGTACCACTCTTTCGGCCTACACCAACCGAGATATTGGATGCTGGTTGTTTGCAAAACGAAAGTCCCTGATTATTGCAAAAGGTACTGGCAAAGTTAGTCAAAGCGGGGGGAGTATGCTCGGCCTCTGCGCCATTGCCAGTTACCGGGACCCTACCATCGAGATCGACAATCGAGCGGCCCCAAAACATTTCGCCTTGCATTAAGGGGGAATCGAACCCCCGGCGGGTCGATGGCAACGACCCAGGTTACCACTACCCCATTAATGCGTTAATAATAATTTTAATGTTGCAACCTACGAGTAGTTTTATTAAGCCTGCAAATACCAACACCTCGATGTCGCACATTTAATTCCCCAGAATTCAGGATTCGCCCGGATGTTATCGACTATCTGGGATGGCCGGATGATGGTAAAAATGGCGGCTAGATGTGCCCAAGATGGCTATTTGAGGGCAAGAAATAGGCTTTTCTCAAGGATGCGCGGAGGAAATTCCCGGCAGAGATCCTGGACATTCCAAAGTATCCCTTCTACTCTCACTATGGCAGCCGCGCATTCCTCCATCCCAAAGGCGGGCTCATCTTCCACAGAGTCTGTAGAAAAGAGGCCTTCTTCGTCATTGATTGGTGCACCGGCGCAGCGAAGTCAGAGTAGCAGGAAGGGCAAGCGGGCATGGAGGAAAAATGTTAA